CTGTTCCGGTTGATTTGAATGGGCAATGGGAAGTAGGACTGTCTGAAATAATCTATCCTCATTCATGGTATAACGTTAATGAAACTAATAATTATTTTCTATATAAAATTAGTAATGGTAATATCACTTCAACTGTTAAGAAAACAATTGATGTGGGTTGTTATGAATCAATGTTCGATATTGTATCAGCTATACAACTTACTTTACCAAAAAATCCTAGTCGGTTTACATTAAATTATAATAAAGCTACGAAACGAGTAGAAATTAATGCAGTTGAGGGCAGCAGTCTCCATTTAGAGAAGTTAAGTGAATTGCTAGGATTCAAACGTGATACAATCATAACGGGTAAAATGAAAAGTGAATTTGCTGCAGATGCATTGTCTAACTTTTCCGTTTTTTATGTCTACTCAGATTTAATTTCACCACAAATTGTAGGCGATATACAAACCCCTTTATTACGAATCGTTCGAATCAAAGGACAAGACGGGGAAACGATTAGTCAGTATTACGATAGACCACAATACTTATCGTTAATGAGGCATTCATTCCAAACTATTCAAGTAGAGCTGAGACTCAATTCAGGTGATTTTGTTCCCTTTGAAAAAGGTAGAGTGATTATAGTACTACATTTTCGTCTGAGGCAAATACTATAAATAGTATACCGCAATTATTGTATCCTCATTTAATGATATAACCATCAAGATGAATACACCATATGTTTGCTGCACTAAAAAGTTTGAAGATCATTATGTGAGTCAAATTGGCTCGGGTTTGACCTATTATAAAGGTGCTAATTTCCAAAAGGGTTATGGAATCGGGGGGATATTTCGTCGATTATTTAGAGCAGCATTACCTTTTTTAGTAAAAGGAGGTAAAACTGTTGCAAAAGAAGCATTAGTAACTGGCAGTCGTGTCGCTTCGGATGTATTGTCAGGAGAAAATTTTAAAGAAGCACTAAAAACAAGAAGTAAAGAAAGTGGGAAGAATTTAACACAAAAAGCCCTTGATAACGTACAGTCAATGGTAGGGAAAGGACGGTATAAAAGAAAGCGTAAGAAACGGAAGAGATTCATTTCCTCCAAAGCACGTAAAGTGAGTGGACGCGATATATTCGACCCGTAAAAAATGACATTTCTTTTGAAAGATTCCCCCGAATGCGCGAAGTCTGAATTAGAACTTTTTAATTTACCTGCATCTCAAACAGTTATTCAAGATGGGCAGTGGATACAATTTCATCCACTTTCTAACGTTTTCGATAACGCACCTGTAGAGTTTTAGATTTCTGGAAGTGGGGAAGACTATATAGATCTCAGTCAAACGCAACTATATGTGAAAGCGAAAATAGTAAAAGATGACAATACGTTTATTACTGCAAATGATACTATAGGACCTGTGAATTTATTTCTACATTCTTTATTTTCTCAAGTAGATGTATCCTTAAATGATTCCGTGGTTTCTAATTCAAATAATACGTACCCTTATCGAGCGTATATTGAGACTCTCTTAAACCATGGACATGATAGTAAAACTTCTCAATTAACGGCGGAATTATTTTACAAAGATAATGAAGATGGACTTATGAAAAGAACTGAATTTTTTAAAGAAAGTGCTACAGTAGAAATGATTGGCTGCATACATTCTGATCTATTTCATCAAGATCGTCTCTTACTTAATTTAGTTGATTTGAAAATGAAATTAATACGAAGCAAGCCTGAATTTTGTTTACAAGGATCTAAAGGCTTTAAAGTTGTGTTGGATCATGTTTCCTTATTCATACGCAAAGTTCGTGTTAACCCTGGAGTTATTCTTGGCCATGCTAAAGCACTGGAGAAAACGAGTGCAAAATATCCTATTAATAGAGTTCTGTGCAAAGTGTATTCGATTCCTAAAGGAAGCATGTCTTTCATTCAAGATAACATATTTTCAGGACAAATGCCAAAAAAAATTATTGTAGGATGTGTAGAAAATGAGGCTTTTCATGGAACATTTGCAAAATCCCCCTACGAATTTAAGCATTTTAATTTAAATTTTATCGGAGTGTATGTAGACGGCCACCCCGTACCACACAATCATTTGGAACTTGACTTTTCTAAAAATCAATACGTGCGCATCAAACAGATCGAATGGGTCAAGACAGAGGAATATTTATTTCCAGAGAAGAATATAAGAACTCTAATACATTGTTCGGATTTAATCTTTCCCCGGATTTATGTTCAGGAGAACATTTAAATTTGATAAAGCACAGCAATTTGCGATTAGAACTAAAATTCAGTCAATCATTAGAACACACTGTATGTGTTATCATTTTTGCTGAGTTTGAAAACTTAATTGAAGTAAACAAATCTAGAAATATTTTGTACGATTTCGGAAACTAAGGAATGGATGGATTAGCTATTTCATATTTTATCTAATGAAAAGGTAACGTCCCCATATTTTCGAGAGGTGTATTCTATAGACACCCTACCGATTTTACAGGAAAATTCGTGTGCGATAATGAACTCTGATGAATCCTCACAGTCTGGAACTCACTGGTTGGGTATATTTATCAATAAGAAGAACGAGTTAGAACTGTATGACTCCTATGGTCGACCACCCAGCTTTTACGGCATGAATATATCTCCTTACTCGGCTGTACAATGGAATTCTAAAGTATATCAATCACTTACTTCAAATGTGTGCGGTCAATATTGTATTTATTTTCTACTGAAACGTTGTCAAGGTTATTCTATGTTTCATATTTTAAATCAATTGTATGTTAGTGATTTTCGAGTGTATCAATTTGTAAAGAAAAGATACGGTGTAAGATTTGTTTCAGAAAATAAAATAAAAATGAATAAAATTAAAATATTATGTATATTTATTTTGTTGCATTGTATCATATTTATTTAATAACTAGAAAAGAATTTCTCTTAAAGAAAACTTTTTTTTTCAAAGGAAAGAAAAATCATCACTTTTTGAAATTTCCTTACCGAGGAAAAAAAAGAATAACATTTTTATTTCGTTTTTAGAAATAAAATTATTTTTAAGAAAAAAAATTACAAATATCTTCAAAAAAAAAAATTTTTTTTTCCAAGAAAAAAAAAGGAAAAGAAAAACATTTATATTTAAATATTTTTGTATATGTAAATATTTTGTATAAAAAAATGAAAAGATAAGAAAAAGTTTTTTAAAAAGATGTTTTTATAAATTTTTTTTCTTCTAAATATGAAAACTTCATAAGAAAATAAAACATTGAAGATAATGACAAAGACAAAAAGTTTTAATTAATAGAGTGACATTTATTTTTAAAGTTTCACCCAAGCACTTCTGCGAGCATACATTACAGGTTTCATAACAATTTTATTTTTACTATACAATTTTTTATTTACATCTAAGTGTGCTGGTAAATGAACATCATTTAATGTTTTTAGAAATACATTTCTTCCCACTGGAGCTGATTTTCTGTTTCGTAAAAAGTCATTTATAAGATTTACTATATTACTTCCAGGAACAGCTTTATCTTCATGAATAATCTCCCCTTTATTGTTCCATAGGAGAGATTCATTACTTTTTAAAAATTGATACATATCTTTAGCTTTTTTTCGAGCTGGAACTACAGTTAGAATTTTGTCCTCCAAGTCTTCTGTTTCTTTTTTGATATTTGAAGAGTCCTCTTCTGCAGACGCATCTAAAGGATTCTCTACATTTGTAATATCCTGTTGTTCCGTTTGAGGTTCTGGTTTATCGGGTTTCATAATTGAAAAATGAGTGTATTTCTGTAACACTTGCAAATACAGAGCTGCTTTATCATGATCAGCTAAATATTTATTCTGTAGTATATTTTTCATTTGTTGATCCAACTCCGATAAGTGTTCTTGAATTTGAACCCTATCTTCTTGAACTAGCACGAATTTCTTACTGTGCTCCATGAATTGAAGAACTAATTACTGATATAGCAGCAGGTAATAAAATAGATAAAAATCCTTCTCCCTTTTGAATGAGAATTTGCTTTTTCTTATATAAGGGTGTTTTTTTGTTTGAAAGTTTTCGCAAGTTTTCTTTAAAAGGAGATAAACGACTTTTTTGAGTTTTTGTTAAGGGTACGTTTCCACACAACACATTTAAGACACATTCACACAAAGTTTTTATCTCACTTTTTGAACAATTTTTCAGTAGAGACTTAGAATTTTTAGTTTTAGAAATAAATTTTAAGAGCTGTAAAGTTTGTTCAGTGCACACTGACATCTTGTTATCAAATGAATGATACAATTATTGTTCGAATGTATTTATCATTTCTCCAAAAATCTAACAAAAGTGTTCCAGACGCAAGTGCGTGAACGCAGATGCAGTGATTATTTATTATATTATTTATTGTATTATTTCTTACATTATTCTTTTGTTGGCAACATGTATATATTCTTTGTGTACTTTTGTGATAGTAAAAGAGTTTGTTCTATGAGATACTTGTTTCAGTGTTGATTGTAATTAGAAAGCATTTACATTTATAACCAACACATTTTGGTGCCGAAACAACTCTGTTTAAAATTAAATACGAATCAGATGAATAATTTACGCAGTCACTCTTTTAAAAACTAGCGAAACGTCAAACATCAGTATATTACTCAATGATGGAGAAACAAAACGATAAAGAACTTGGCGATAGTCTGGCACTTTTGAAAAGAAAAAGAGGAACAGTGCGAGGTAATGTTACTCGATTTATTACGCAATTAAATTCCGATCTTTCTGCAACCTCTGACACTTTAAATGAAAATGTCGAATATATTAGTCATCGGCTTTCCGATTGCTTGTTAGAAATGAAGAAATTGGATAATGACATACATAGTTTATTAACAGATAGTGATTATGACAATGATATTATTCAATGTGAAGAATACGTGGATAATGCCGAGCTCGCTATCTTTAAAGCAAAAAAATTTGGCAGTAGAATTAATTTTGAATTTAATACGTTCCAATCGCCAGAAGTAACCATTTCTCAAATACCTGTTACACAAGTACCCGTTATGCAATTACCCGTTTCTCACTCTCACACAGTGAAACTCCCTACTATTAAACTGGATACTTTTCGAGGTGATATTGAACAATGGCAGTGTTTCTGGGAACAATTTAAATCTTCTATTGACGATAATAATAGTCTATCATTAATTGATAAACATGTGTTTTTGCGAGGATATTTAGAAGATGAACCTAGACGTTTAGTCGACGGAATCAGTGTTAGTGCCAGCACATATGAAACTACAAAAGCTCTTCTTCAAAATCGATATGGCGACAAAAACAGAATAATTCAAACCCATTTAGACTTTTTGGAAAATATTTCGCCAATACGTAATCCCACTCCTATTGCATTGAATGAAGTATTTATAGAATGCAACAGAAGACTAAACGCTTTAACGGCCTTAGGGGAGGATATCAACGCTTACGGGCGAGTTTTGGCTCCAAAAATTTTACGTGCCTTTCCGGATGATATTTGTCGCCGATGGATCATTTACGCAAAAAGAGAGAAAATATCTGAAGGTGATATGAATAAACTAGTGCAATATTTATCTGAAGAAGTAGAAGGTGCTCTCACAACACTAAAAATTCGAGGTGAGCAAAACTTTGATTACACATTTAAAACATCTACAGCAGCCTTGCATGTGAATTCTAAAAAGATTAACCAGACAAAAAAACCATCTCCATTTTGCCCCTTCTGTGAAATTAACGGTCACTGGCCGCAAGATTGTACGAATATAACTGATATCGATACTCGAATCCAAAAATTAAAAACCTCTGGTACATGCTTCCTGTGTACTAATCGCGGCCATAGTATAAACAATTGCCTTCGCAAAGATAAAGCATTCTGCATAAGATGCAAAAGGAAGCACCATGTCTCTATTTGTAGAAACAACAGTTCAAATCAACCTAGCCACTCTATTTCTACAAATAACATAGATACTCGTACACCTAATTTTACTCACTTACAGACTGCTCGAGTATATATAACTGGCCCAACTGGTATTACTAAGCTTACAAGATGCATTTTAGATTGTGGAAGTCAAACCAGTTTCATTCATTCACATCTTGTAGACTACCTAAAATTAGATGTTATTAGCTCTGATTCACTTGAAATTCATGCATTCCAATCATCATCAAATCAGGCTCAATCGAGACGAAAAGTAAGATTTAAACTATAAAGTATTTGGAATCAGTCAGAAATTTATCTACATGCATTTGAAAGTTCTATTAGATATGCAGTTCATCCCTCAGTTCCATTAGAGATTGCTTCTACGGCTCACAAGAAAAAATTTAGGCTTGCTGACCCGAATGACACCATTCAAGAGATGCCTATAGAAGTTTTGATTTGTGCAGATTTTTATTGGACGGTGGTGAATTCTGAGATTCCTTTCAGACTTTCGGAAACAATTATGCTCATTCCATCAATCTTTGGCTGGATTTTGTCTGTATCCAGATCTCATACATCTGTCGCTTCTTTATCGTCAGTTCATAATATTAGCATGAAATTACCATATACTTTGGATGATCAAGTTAGGAAATTCTGGGACTTAGATACTTTAGGTATTAAAGCCATGCAAGACAAAGAAATGTCCATTCGCAATTCTGAAATATTGGAAGACTTTCGCAGTTCTTATGAAGTCCTAGAAAATCGTCGTGTTGTTAGATTACCTTGGAAGAAAGACGTTACTCTTTCTTCAAATAACTATCACGTAGCATCAAAACGCTTCAATTCATTGTGCAAGAAGCTCCAAACAGATCCTAGCTTAAAGGAAATGTATGTTACACTCATGGAAGATTACATAGACAAAAGACAAGTTGAAATAGCACCGGAAAATCATGATAAAGTAGAAAAAAGCTATTACATACCCCATCATCTAGTCATTAAAGAGAAGAACGCAGAAATTAAGGGACGAGTAGTGCTCGACGCCTCTTCTCACACACCAGGCCATCCATCATTAAACGATGTTCTAGAACAAGGTCCCAACTTACTTCCAGAAATTTTAGCCACCTTATTGCGATTTCGTCTTCACAAACAAGCAATTATTAGTGATGGAAGTCAGGCCTTTTTACAATTAACCTTGTGGGAAAAAGACAGATGTGCTACTAAGTTTTTGTGGTTCAAAACTAGGAAAAATGGTGATGGACATTTGCAGCTAGAGAATGAAATTGTGGTCTACCAATTTACACGTTTACCCTTTGGATTAACCAGCAGCCCATTCCTTCTTTCAGCTACACTTGACGAATTTATCCTGCATGTACTCCAACATTTATCCCACAGCAGCTAAACATCTAAAAGGCAATATTTTCATGGATGATTTCGTTGTGGGAGTTTATTCAGAAATCGAAGCGAAGACCCTATTTCACGAAATGCGAGAACTCACGAGTCTTATAAGCCTTCCCTTAGCAAAATGGAGTACCAACTCACAAGTTTTGAAAAACGAATGGAAGAAAGAAAAAATAAAGTTTAAAAGTTAGACTCAAGTCTTAGGTGTTCATTGGGATACAGAAGAAGATTAGTTTCATCAAAATATTAAGGAGCATGACCACGATTTATTTAAGGAACCGGTCACTAAACGCTTACTTCTAAAAACAATCTCAAAGATTTTGATCCCTTGGGAATTTTCTCACCATCTACTGTAATAGGAAAAATTCTCTTTCAAGATACATGGCTATGCGGTATTGAATGGGACGAACTTTTACCCCCATCTATCGCATCAAGGTGGTCAAAATGGATTATAGACTTATCACATTTAAACAACATTCGAATCCCCAGATGGATTGGAATATCTTCTGCTGATGTTACCATTCACGTATTCTGCGATGCTTCGGAACGTGCTTACGGAACAGTGTTATATGTACGATTCACAGAAGATACTAAATTTCATATTCGAATGGTTTGCAGTCGTAATAGACTTTCTCCTCTGAAAATAATAACACTTCCCCGCTTAGAGCTGTTAGCCGCATTATTGGGTGCTCGATTACTCCACTATTTTTGTACAGAAACTAAACTGGATAGGAACACAGCAACACTTTGGAGTGACTCAACAGTTGCCTTAAATTGGATACAAGGTGATCCAAATTGTTGGAAAACTTTTGTCTGTAACCGAACGAACGAAATTCTCAATTACACAAATCCAACACAATGGCGGCATTGCCCTGGCAATGAAAATCCTGCCGACCACTTGTCTCGTGGTGTTGCACCAACAGAGCTTAAATCATTGGATCTTTGGTGGCTCGGACCTACCTCCCTAACCCAGTCATCAAAGTTTTGGCCTTCAAAACAACTGAGTGACGCTAATCCAGATATTCATGTTGAACTACGTAAACCAGCTTCTCAATCTTTATTGATAACTTCTTACCAACCTCTTATTGATATATCGCGGTTCAGTTCATATATGAAACTTCTTAGAGTTACAGCATGGATATTTTTCGTTTCTTGTATAACTGTCGATCCAAGCAACACATTTCTATTGACCTCACATGTGATGAGCTTAACACAGCAAAGAACGATTGGATTTTTACAGTGCAAAAGCAATGCTTTCCAGCAGAGCTTCACGCTTTACAAAATAATTCCCCTTTGCCAAAATCTTCAACAATTAGCCGTCTTAACCCGTTTCTTCAAGAAAATCTCATACGATTAGGAGGTAGATTACAGTTTGCATCGCTCAAAAATGAGCAAAAACACCCTTTGCTTCTTGATGGCTCTCATCCTTTTGTACATCTTCTCATATACTACACACACGTGAAGCTTCATCACTGAATTGTTCAAATTGTACTTTCAGAGATTCGTTCTTTTATGAACAAGGAAATGATGATCCTGAGGAAACATTAACACCATCCCATTTTCTTACCGGTAGAAGACTTACAACCATACCTTCACAACCTGCAGCATCTAGTAGAAATCTCCCGACCTGTTCAACTGATCATTCCTCTTGAGATTGATCAGGGTGGGGAGGATGTTCCAGACGCAAGTGCGTGAACGCGGATGCAGTGATTACCAGACGTGAACGCAGATGCAGTGATTATTTATTATATTATTTATTGTATTATTTCTTACATTATTCTTTTGTTGGCAACATGTATATATTCTTTGTGTACTTTTGTGATAGTAAAAGAGTTTGTTCTATGAGATACTTGTTTCAGTGTTGATTGTAATTAGAAAACATTTACGTTTATAACCAACACAAAAAGCTTTCACTTTAGTGAGTGCACATCTATTAAAATTTGGAGCGTGATAAGAGCAAAAGTCTGAAATTGTATCTAATTTATCCATTTTCGGACAGCCAATATCATCTAAATTTTCACATTTTTTCCCAATTAAAAATTCTAGAATTTTTTTTTTCTCCAGTCCTTTCACATAAATATGTGTGAACATATTAGATAAAAAAATCAAAACGGTACGTAGTTGATAATATGGTAGTTCTCCTTCATTCCATTCTATTAAATGTATTTGTTTTGTTACCCATTTATATTGAAATTTCTCATGATGAGTAAGCTCTTCGAAAGAACATGGCGGAAGAAAATGAAAGTTACCGATGATGGAATTACTATTTACGGCCTGAAAGGCAAGTTCTTTTACGATATAGTTTCCTGAAGATTGTTGAAATCCCTCGAAATCTATTACTATGGTAGACATGTTGCTTATTCAAAATCGTTTGCTTTAATAAAGTTATCAGGGTTGATATACGTAAAAAGTATCTCCGGTTACATACTATTTATTCAAAGAAAACCGATTCCGGTGAAAAGCAAATAAAAAACGTCGAATTCAAAACGCCAAATATGGTAGACCATCATGGAAGGTAACATTTTGAATTTCATCATATAATTTTTGATAAATACCATAACACCAAACTATTTCTTTCGGGAAGGGTTTAATCACTTTATTTTCTATTAGTTTTTTAATATAATGTGTTTTGCCGCTTCCTGATGGACCTGAGACGATCATCGAAAACGAGTGGACTAATTTAAGAGTGTCCATGACTATACTAAAGTTTATCGATTATGGTAAAGCTATTTATACGAGAATATTGCAACAATAAATGTCAAAATAAATATTCTCAATAAATTTTCAATATAACTCAATATTATTTTCAATGGTAATAAATTAAAATATTTCTTTCATTATTTACTTATATATTTTGACTTATCTAAAAAATAAAACTCATTGTTAGTTTCATACGTCTTTGTTCAATAATAACCATCATTCTTTACCGCGTTAACTACCTCTAAAGAGAGAAACACGCTTTTACAAGATAAAATTGATTGTGTGTGGTAAGGGTGTGTATGATGATTCACCACCCAGTTAAACTCAGCGTGATTTTACATGATAGTACCCGTATACCTGTGTGTCACTTGCAAACTCATGTTTAACGAGATAAAAATGTTGTTGCTTGGCGAATATATCACGATCTATCTTGTTCTGTACGCTTTGACTATGTTATCAGTTCAATACTAACACACAGTAGTTTACTTGTTAGACCAGGTGAGAGGAGATAATTACACATTTTTAAGTGACAGTAGGGGTGAGCTAGATATGATTCAGGTTTAAAGAATAGAAAATCTATATTTTGCTTAAGATTCTTAGAGGGGGGGGGGAGTCTGACGTAGCTAGAAAAATGACGTCGCAAGAAAATGACCTATCTGAATTACACTTTGAATATCTGTACTGCGCATGATCCTTGAAATTTTGTAGATAACTTTTCATTCTACAACTATGCATTTCATGATAGCTTGATTTTCATTTCATGAAAGTACGATGTCGGTTTGCGAAATTTGTGGAAAATGTTTTTCCATTAAGTCTGCTTTGAAAAGACACATTTTAGAAGTTCACGAGAAGAAACATGTGCACTCATGTATGGATTGTAATAAAAAATTCGTGCGGAAAAGTGATTTAAAGCGGCATACGGACACTGTCCATTCTTCGGAAAAAATTTCCTGTGAAGTTTGCAAAACTACATTTGCTCGAAGAGACAATCTTCTACACCACGTAAACTATGGAAACTGCAAAAGAAAAATGGATAGAAAGAGAAAGAGGGAAGATGGTGATCTATCTTCAAAGAAAAAGCTTCCTTCTGAAATTAAAACTTCTGAACCTTCGACTTCAGCAGCCGCTCCTTCTGATTTAGGATCATCGTCTCCTCCTGTAAGTAGGATTACTACAGAAAATGTTAACCAACCCTCAACATCTTCAGCTGTTTCTGTAAATTTAGAGTCATCTTCTCGTCCTGAAATGTCCATACTTATGCCGAAAACAACATTGTTTACAAAAGAAAGTAAGAGTGCCTTCGGAAAAGCATATAAGACATTTGATCTATTAAACGATGATAGAGCTCTAGTTTTGGGGAGGAGTTTACTTATTCTTTTTCTAAATTTTTCAACAATATCTACTTTATCTTGGAAAAGAAGCAGTTTTATATATATGCCAGAAATATAAAAGAAATCTTGATAGTTACAGATATTTCATTTTTTTCGAAAAAAATGCTGGAATGAAATGTTTTACGTACCAGGTTTTTCTCTTTTCCGTCTTGCTATATAAGGGCTGTCACCCATGCATTGAAATGCATGGCAAAATAGATTATGAACTCGAAAACTTACATACCTGCTGTATTTATAAATTCCATGCCACAGGAGTTTCGTTATAATGTCTATCGTAAAAACCCCCAAAAAAATATTCCAAAAAAGAAATTACTGCTACTAAAATGAGAAAATATTGTATTATACTTTTTTAAGTTTAAAAGACTAAAATATTTAAGGCCCTTAAAGCCTCTGACGCCCAGTTCCACTACAACGAACGAATACTAACTTATTTAGAATTTTTTTCGAACTTCATTTGGGAAACGAGTCTATATAAATGTGAAACTTTTATTTTATGTCTTAATTAAAATGATCTGAAGTGAAATAATTTGCTCAGTTATTTTAGAAATAAGACTTTTACTACGATGTTTATTTTTAATAAAAAAGAAAGGATTTTGCAAGCAAATATAAAGTACACCATTATTATCGCAAAAATGTTCTTCTCTCATGTTTTTTATTAAAAACTTACTTCTTTTTTATACTTATATTCTTAATAAAAATCATGATTAAAGGTTTTTATGTTAGATTGAATTGAAATAAGATAATATTATTATTAAAACACGACATTAAATTACTATCACTACTTAAAATGCTTGATATTCAGGAGACAAAAATTATATTCCATATTGTGAATTTTAATTCATAATGTTTTTATTTTATTTTATAACCATCTTTGAACAAACGAAACAATTTTTGGATTTACGGCTACTAATGTTTAACTCCGTATCCTTGTAATTTTGTAATCCAAAGAACTAGGAAACTCATGGATCAAGTATTGGTAAAAATTGGATTTTGAGGAGGTCTTTTTGATGGAACTGACCTGCATTTGCTTTACACTGAGAAGAAAACCACGAAAACTTCCTGCGGTTAGCCTAACGGCAAGGGAACTCTAACACATGATTTGTCTACCACTGATAGTTAACGTTAGCACTCTGGTCGGGTTGATCCAACGCTTCCTACAACTGAAAGCCTCCACGCAGTTTCTTATAGGTGGTCCGATCAGACCATTATGAAGGTAAACCAATTTACGAAAGAGTTCTTTAATAGAAAATCTAATAAAATTAAGAAAGCGGCAACAAATCTGTGTCTAAATATTTGTTTAATTTATGAATATGATTGGTTTGTCTTACTTATGTGTCAACCACTATAGATTCAATTCTCAAACATATAGGATAAATTTCTCTCAATCACTTTTAAAAAAGAATTTAGATTCATGGCAAAACTAGCTCCTTTTTTAAATGGTCTCCGCAGACTACTTATAAGAAACCGTATGAAGGCTTTCTGATGCGGGAGGTAATGGGCGAGCCATCTCTGGGATTCGAAGCTGACTCACCTCATTGTGAAGCGAACGCTCTATCCCCTGAGCCTGCTCTGCTAAATTATAATGAGTAATAATCATAATGATTAATAATTATTTCTACGTCATAATTAGCAGCAGATTTCTTATATTAACAGTTTTCTATTAAGTGCTCAACAATAAAACAGACATTTTCCATAATTATGCATAAAATTATACCACAACTTAAATTTCTAATTCAAAGTAGTAAATACTATTGCGCCTGTAAATTATCTCTCTAAAAATATTGTGTGGTTTCTATTGGTCATTTTTTGTAGGGTAGGCATTAAAGAGTTTCTAGTTTTAAAGAAAGAAGAAAACATATTTAGTCACGAGCTTCAAAAATACAAGGCACTAAAAGTCAGCAAGTGGATTCATTGCATCTACTTTAAAGATACCGAAACGGGGAGAAAAATAAAAAATGTTGAATTTAAGACACCGAACAATGAAGCTTTTGTGTCAACAAACTTGGATTGCCTTTATGATCATATGTCTGAAAAAATCATAAAAGAAAGCGAAGATTTTGAGGAAAAAGATTCTGGGTGGAGTCTAGACGAAATTTTGCGTTTAGAGGTTAGAACCAACCGCTACTCGCCATTAAAAGGATCGACGTTCATCGAACTACCAAAATGGATTAGTGATACCAAGGCAGTTGTGAATGTGAAAAATGAAGACGTGCACTGCTTCAAATGGTCGATACTTTCAGCTATTTATCCTGCAATTAACAAAACTTCAAGTTATGCTTCCTTCGAAGAAAATGTTAATTTCGAAGGTATATCATTTCCGACCCCTCTTAGTGACGTGAAAAAATTTGTAAAATTGAATAATGTTTCGATTAACGTATATTCTTTTGAAAAAGATTTAAAAATTTTCCCACTCTTAGTTTGTGACTCTGAATTAACCCAACATGTCGATTTGTAATACATACCAAATAGTAATGGCTGTGGCCACTATTGCTGGATAAAAAATTTATCACGGCTTGTGTCTAAGCAACTATCCAATCATGGACATAAAATATATATATGTAAAAGATGTTTATCAAGGTTTGAATTAGAGAGTAAACTTCTGCGTCACAAGGAAATTTGTGACGAAAGAAGCCCTGCCAGAGTGGTGATGCCAACAGAACAAAGTAAGTTTTTAAAGTTTAAAAATTCTCAACACGCTTTAAAAATACCGTTTGTTATTTATGCGGATTTTGAATGTTTAACTTCTAAAATTGATAGTTGTTTCCCAGATTCTGAAACTTCTTTTACTAATAGTTATGAAAAACACATACCAATTAGCTTTTGCTATTTTGTTTGTTACGACGGGGGGCACTATCGGGGTGAGGATGCGCAAGAAATTTTTGTTAAAATGATAGAGAAAGAAGCAATAGAAATTGAAAAAATATACAAACAACCGAAACCTTTATTACCTCTTTCCGATGAAGAAAGACAGGTTTATGAAAATGCAAAAACGTGTTACGTTTGTAACGAATACTTTAAGGAAAATAACAGAAAAGTCAGAGATCACAATCATGTTACACAAAAATTCAACGGCGCTTGCTGTAATAACTGCAACCTATCTATGAGAACCCCAAACTTTGTCCCCATATTTTTTTCATAATCTTGCTGGATATGATGCTCACATTTTTATTAAAGAGTTAGGATATGATAAAAAGCCGATAAGATTAATACCTAACACAGAAGAAAAATACATTTCTTTTAGCAAAAAGATTTCTAATGACTTTGAGCTCCGATTCCTTGATTCTTTTAAATTTATGTCGTCAAGTTTGGAAAATTTAATTAAAACACTGAAAAAAGAAGAATTCTATTATATGCAAAAATACTTTGCACCCGAAAAAGTAGATTTACTATTAAGAAAAGGAGTGTTTCCATATGACTATTTCGACAGCTTCGAAAAATGTAATGATTCTTCTCTCCCCACAATAAATCATTTTTACAACGAGTTAAACGAAGAAAGTATCAGCATTGATGATTATAATCACGCTCTTAAAGTTTTTAACGAATTTAAATTAAAAAATCTCGGTGAATACTGTGATCTTTACATTAAAACAGATGTAATTTTATTAACTGATCTTTTCGAAAATTTTCGTAAAATTTGTCTTAAAACATACAAACTTGACCCCTGCTGGTATTTTACCGCTCCATCACTGTCATGGGATTCAATGTTACTCCTTACAAAAGTCAGCATAGAATTATTTACAGATTACGATAAATTATTATTTATTGAAAAGGGGATTCGTGGTGGAATGAGCCAATGCAGTAATCGATACTCGCGTGCCAATAATAAATATATGGGCAATGATTACGATCCTTCAACCCCGAATAAATACCTAGTGTATTTGGACGCCAACAATCTCTATGGTTGGGCCCAATGCCAATATTTGCCTTTAAAAAAATTTTTCCTGGAGCTCGAATCTCGATATAAACGTAGAAAGTATATCTGATACATCCGATATCGGATATATCCTAGAGGTTGATATGGAATATCCAGATCTATTACATGATAGTCACTCCGATTTTCCACTAGCACCAGAAAACTTGATACCCCCAAATTGTAAAGAAAAACGATTGCTAACCACTTTATTACCAAAATCAAAATATGTCGTGCATTACAGAACTTTAAAACTTTATTTGAAACATGGCCTGAAACTAACAAAAATTCATCGTGTTTTAAAATTCGATCAATCTCCCTGGCTTAAACCATATATAGATTTAAACACTAATTTAAGGACGAATGCTACAAATAACTTTCATAAAGATTTTTTTAAATTGATGAATAACAGTATATTTGGTAAGACAATGGAAAATGTGAGACGGCGCGTTGATATACGACTTTGCACTTCAGAGGAGCAAGCCCGAAAATTAGTAGCTAAACCCAATTTTAATCGACGAACAATATTTACAGATAAATGCATGGCTGTTCATCTAAGAAAAACCAAAATAGAATTTCTAAAACCAATTCATATTGGTATGGCTATTTTGGATACATCTAAATACCTTATGTATGACTTTCATTATTCTGAAATCAAAAATGATTATGGTGAAAACGTAAAATTATTGTATTCTGACACTGATTCCTTAATCTATGAAATAACCGCTGATGATATATATGACGATATGAGGAAAAAAATCAATTTATATGACACGTCTGATTATGAGGAAAATAATATTTATAAATTACCTTTAATAAATAAGAAAGTTGTGGGTAAAATGAAGGACGAAAATAAGGGGGAAATAATGACTGAATTTGTGGGATTAAAATCCAAAATGTATGCCTATAAAACAAGTAACAAAACCGAAAAGAGATTAAAAGGTGTTAAAAAGCAAGCTATAAAAAATAAGATCACTTTTGATGATTACAAAGAATGTTTATTCAATCAACAACTTAAATATGTAGACATGAACTTAATTCGATCAAAATTTCATGAAATAAATTCTGTATAACAAAACAAACTGGCTTTGTCATTTAGAGATGATAAAAGACATATTAATGATGATGGCATTTCCACTCTGGCTCTTGGGCATTGGTCTCTAAAAAATATGGATGTATTTGAAGAGTTGTAATGAAAAATGCATTAGCATGATTGTGTGTTGAAGCAGCAGACTTGCTGATACTGCTTTAAAAATAAATAAAAAAAATTATTTTGAATTTTAAAAAGTGTGATTATTCCATTATTAAAAAAAAAAATACAAAACAATTAAACGTACATTTTTTATATGTATCATATTTATTTTATGTATTTACTTCAAAACTAAATGTTAATAATTATATAGATAATAAACTATTTCATAAAATATTGATAAATTTGAAAAAGGAAATACATATGAATTTTTATTTGGAAATTAAAAAATGTAAAAATAAATACAGTTCCTGCAGGATATAACAAGATAATACTTGATCAGATAACGTCATCTTACAAAGGCGAGGCGTTGCCACTCAAAAAATAAAAATAAAGATGTTGCCACAAAATTAATTAAAAATTCGCGGGTTTAAACTATTTTAATTTAATATTTATGCGTTGCCATTTCAAAAACAAGAAAAAATGAAACTACGTTTTTATCCATAACCGTCTACGAGTTTAAAATTATTTTAAAACTGTAAGTTTCCCTTCGTTCTGTATGCATCCATTGGATACTGGTTAGCGTGCCTGACAAATCAGTATCCAATGGAAGCATTTCGTCCTGGAGGTCACTGGTTCAAATACCAAGTCGGAAAAAAAAATTTTATTACCAAATATTATTTTTAAACATTTATTATTTTTAAATTATACATACTTATGATTTTTAAACCTAGATGGCGCCACCAATATCAAACATCGATAATATGTAAAAATTAATAATTGTTTTAATCACTAGATGGAGCCACGAGTATTTGCCAACGCTAAGAAATAATAATGAAATCGAAACTAAAACTAAAATAAGAAATTCAAGTGGGCAGAAATAAGCAAGCGGGCAGAAATAAGAAATTACCCAGTGTTGCCACCGGAAGTCAAAAATTTTGGAAACCGAAACCAAAACTAACCTAGGTGTTGCCACCGGAAGTTAACAATTCCGGAAACCGAAACCAAAACTAAAGCAGGAGGGGAACAACTCAACTCAACTCGACCGCCTGCACCGCCGTTTATCGCAGAATCGGCTTTTTTTACCTACTGATGGTGCCTCGTAATAAACAAATAACATCTCTAAAAGTACATTTATTACTGATGCAATGTTTTTAAGACATTGTAGAAGTGTAGTTGGCAGAATAAATGCTAATAAAAGCAAAAACTCAATGACAAAGAACTAATGAAGCAAATTATTTCAAATTCAAAATATTACCTTGAGTTATTGAAAAAAAAATGGTGATATCCATAAAATGTTAGAGTAAAAAGACTTGATTTCCGCGAAATAATGAAATCTTTCATGGTGAAGCGAATTTTTTAAAAAATTAAAGAATTTGATCCATTTTAGAAAGAGCAAATTAAGAATTAAAAAATAAATTTGATCAAAACAGTGTGTTAAAAATTTCTACAGAAAATTAGGAAGAGGATTTTAATTACCTAAAGTAATCAACTAAGCCAATCTTAATATTTTTTTATTTGTAGATTCTACACTAGATTTCTCCAATATAGACCAATTGCCCCATAAATACTTAAGTTAAACATTAAGTTGAACATACACACACAAACANCTAAAAAAAAAAAAAAAAACACACACAGTTAAAAGTATTCAAATCTAAAAAATATATATTGAGGTTGGCAAGCAATAGTGCTAGGTTTAAAGCAAGTTAAATCAGTCATAAAATCTCAAAAAAGTAATTATGAAAAAAGATATAAATATACAAAAAAAAGGGTTCACTAAATTTTTATGATAAAATATCTTCAACATTATGTAGTAAAAAAATAACAATTTTCGAAATTATTTAAACTATTTGCTTTTTGAATGACAACAAGGAATTAAAGCATTTTGGCGAGAAGTACAGGAAACTTTTACGAAAAATGTTCTTATTAGGCTTGGGTATGAAATAAATTTGGCTCTTCTAATAACTGTCTTTTTTGGTACAAGTATTTAGGTTTTTAAAGAAATGTAAACAAAGTTTGTAAAAACTAAATTGCGATGTGTTGAGTAACTGGTTGTGTTTCTGGTTAATTCGTTCATTTTTATTGAGAAATTAATAGATTTGTCTTGATTATTAACAAGTTTATTTTTGTTACTTTTATAATCTAAACTGATAAGCCATAATGAATATAAGAG